CCCCCCTGTGTTTTCTTCTATGAGTTTGGTAGTTTTAGCTCCTAAATTTAGATCTTTGACCCACTTTGAGTTAATTTTTGTACTTGGTGTAAGGTCGAGTCCAACTTTAGGTCCTATTCAGACCTGGTTTCTGACATCCACTTTCTTGACTGGCAGAAATTTCAGCAGATTTCAAGGAGCCACCATCCCTGCCAGGGAAAGAGAAGCCCCCCTTGACAGCAGCCTGCGGGTCGCCCCTGGCCACACAGTCCCCACCCCCTGCTGAGCTTCCCCAGGCTGCCCTGCCTCCATCGACCTCACCTGCCCTTCCTGGGCGCCTGGAGGACTTCCTGGAGAGCAGTACTGGGCTACCCCTGCTGACCGGCGGACACGAGGGGCCAGAGCCCCTCTCCCTCATTGACGACCTCCACAGCCAGATGCTGAGCAGCTCTGCCATCCTGGACCACCCCCCCTCGCCCATGGACACCTCGGAACTGCACTTTGCCCCTGAGCCCGGCAACATGGGCCTGGACCTGGCTGATGGACACCTGGACAGCATGGACTGGCTGGAGCTGTCGTCAGGTGGCCCCGTGCTCAGCCTGGCCCCGCTCAGCAACACGGCCCCCAGCCTCTTCTCCACGGACTTCCTCGATGGTCATGACCTGCAGCTGCATTGGGATTCCTGCTTGTAGCTCTCAGGTTTGCCAGGGGACCGGAGGGGCTGGAAGCTGGGGCGCCTCAGGAACTCTAGGGAGCTCGGCTCTTTCCCGCCTGGCCCAGCTCCTCTGCGTGGTGGTGAGTCCTGACAATCACAGCCCTGCTTTCCCCTCCCTGGCTCGCCCGGGGGAGAAGCTGCCGAGCAACAGCTCCGGGTCCACCCGGGGCTTTGGAGACCCGGACAGCCAGGGCTTCTACTTGACCTCCTTTTGCGAGGTTGGAGGTACCCTGTCTGGCTTTAGTTTGCTCAGCTGGGCGAAGTGTGAATTCTCTTCCCTACAAGGGAAAGAAACAAGCTGGGCCTCTCCCTCCCCATCCCCCCGTGATGCTAACCCCAGGTTTCCGGGGGTGGGGAGGGGAGGCACTGCCCTGTTAGTGTGTTGGTGTAGTGTAACCATGCAGTGGTTGGTGGCAGACATGTTCTGTACAGGTGTATATACCTCTATATTATATATCGCCATACATATATACATATATTTTTTTGGGAGGTGGATACAGCACTCTCCCATCCTACTGTGCACATATAGAAGGGTCTGGAGTCCCCAGCTCTACCCCTCACCATGTTTGACATGTAGACACCCCATCACATCCTGTACCCCACCTGTCCTACTCATAATCAGTGCCACAAGGGCAGAGGTGCATCTTGGCCACCTGCCCACATTCCGTCCTGCTGCCTCACTGCAGCCACCACGGCCCTGGGACAGGAGGGGAATTAGCCCCATAGTGGGGCCAGATGTGGCCCTTCCGTCCCGGGGCCTGGCCTCCCTTCTGGCCTGTCACTGTTGTTATAGGGGTTTAGGGAAAGGGGAGGGCACCAAAACCAGTGCTGGGACAGGGGTGGGGAAGCTGTGTGAACTTTTTAAAATAAAAGCAAAAACACCAGCTTGTTAATTCCTCTTATTCAATCTGTGGAGAGGTGGGTGGTGCGGCTGGGCCCTAGGCGTTTTCAGCATCTGGGGGCCACACCATAACCCCACCTGCCCAGCCAGCTGTCTATTCCAGGCCATACCGTTCTATGGCCCCGACTGGACTGAAGACAAGGCGCTTTCTTAAAGATAATTTATTTACAAACCAAAGACGTCAAGGAGCCCTTAGCCACCCACATTCCCTTCCTGAGCAAAAACTGACAGAGGTGGCTCTCTACCTCCTCACGAGGTTTTTGGTCAGTACAAGTAGTGAAATTGAGGCCCAGAGCCTCCAGAAAGACACTGGGATGAACAGACTGAGCTAGGCCCCCACCTTCTGCTCCTGCCACCCACTGCCCTCTAGTCACGCTTGGCAACACCCAGGGTGGTGTCCCCAATCTCCCTACCACGGTGCCTGGCCAAAGCTCCAGTGTCTTCTTCCCTTGGTCCCGTAGCTTGGGTTAGGCCTGGGCCACCTCAGCCCCATCCCAAAACTGTTCTCTTCTTAAGGAAGCAGCTGCTCTGGTAGCTGATGGGTTGGGAGAGGCCTGGGTGTGGTGGCCACTGGAGGAAGAGCATCACCCATCTATGTCCCAGCTGAAAAGGTGGTGCTTCACCAGCATGTCCTGGACACCCTCCTTCAGGGGCTTCTTCTCCTCCTGCACACAGGACAGCCCCTCACTGTCATGGGCACACAGCAAGGAAGCCCAAGGTGGCAGGGGCCAGACTGGTTCTTAGAGGTGGTGCCAGTACTCAGGCGATACCACCACGGGGCCCTGCCTTGGCCACAACAGGAAATGTTTGGACTGATCTGCCAGCACACCCACCACAGCCCCTTCAGGAGGAAGGCAGGTTGCTGGGCTAAGGACCAACCCCAACCACCTACCTCTCTCTTCACAGGAAGTTCCCAGTCCTGGGAGAGGCTGAAGGCAAAGCAGCAGAGGACACTGGAGGGGAGGAAAGGGAGGCTGTCAGTCACCCTCAGGTTGGCTCTTTCCGTCCCCCTACTCCCAGGGCCACTGGGCCTGGGCTCCAGAAACCCAGCACCAGAGCGGGTCCTCACCGGAGTTCACACTTGATCTGGACCCAGCCAGGGCTGCGCAGGAAGGACCAGGGCTGGTACCACTTTTCCACGGTTGGCAGGCTAGAGCAGAGCACCTCCAGCCACAGGTGTAGGACCTGCTCACTGGGGACAGGAGGGAGAAGTGGACCATCTGCAGGATTTCCTGAGCACATTCTGAGCTTGTCTTGGGGATATTTGTCCCTCTGTAAACCACTCCTCCCACCCCGGGTGGCAAACCCAGAAACATCTTTCACCCAGGCCTGAGCCTCACAAATGCCCAAGGCCTCTCAGGCAGGTGCCCCCTCCCTAGTTTGCGGCGGCAGACTTATTTCTGGGGAGCCCCTTCACTGATCAGGCACACTCACTTGAGCCCCACACAGATAAGAGAGCGGAGCTTGACATCCATTTGCGCGTGTGCAGCGTCATGGGTCACATTCACAGACTGCACAGCCTGGGAGGACACAGCTGTCACTCAGACATCCCCAGAGGCCAGCCCAGGAACCAGACCCCACCCATGGCCCTGCCTACCCGATAGAGCAGCTCCTCCGGGGTCAGAACTTTGCCATCTTCATCCAACCTGGGGAAGGGGGGGGTGGAACCGAAGATGCCAGTGCTGCCAGATGGGCAGGCTCGGGCTCCTCTTTCCCCCCATGAGGCTGCCAGGGTGGGGGACTGGTGCCTGGTTACCTGTATGTCTTACACAGCACTAGGCGAGAATATACTGAGTCGAAGTCTCTCTCCACCTCCCGGCCTGCTGCCTAGGGGCAGGGGGGAAATGTCAGGGACAACGGGGTAGGTCCCAGGTCAAAGCTATAGGATCCAATTAAGTGCACATCACCCCATGAGCTCCTGCCGCCAGCTCCACAGAGCCCAGGGGCTTATGGAAAAGGACTGTAGGGGACATGGGTCCAGCCACTGACTCACCTCCTCGATAAACAGCCAGGGGTGGCAGGCGCCCCCAAGCAGGGATGGCTTCTTCAGGCCGTGTTCAAACAGGGCTTTGAGGGCTGGGCAGAGGGTCCCTCGCACAAGGTCCGTGACCCCCTCTGTCACAGTGTCATCCCCCGCGATGGAGTACTGTTGGTGGGGGACAGGGTCTAAGAAGCCCCATGCCTGTAGCCAGTCACCCTCCCTGTCTTCACATCTACTGCCAAAGCCAGAACTCGCTCAGGATGCAGGCCTTGCCAGGGTGGAAGCAGCAGCTCCCAGGGCAACCCTGCCCTGTGCCCCACTTACCTCTTTGCTCCGCTCATCTAGGACTTCCACAAACTTGGCTGGAAACCAGCCTGTGGGAGAGGCAGGGTCCTGTGAGAAGCCTGGTGTCCCCACACTTTCCCCCCATGGGGCTGAGGACAGGCTCAGCCCAGTTGCTGGCTGGAGGAAGCAGGAGTGATGCAGCGGAGTGACCAACCCACCTCCCCCAGCTGGAGTCCAGACTAAGGCCTCACCTCTCAGGCCATTCAGCTCCCCCACCCAGCAGTGCTCGTCCTTCTGAGAGATGATCTGCAGAGGAAAAGAGGAGGCAAAGCTTTGGTTGCCTGAGCCCAGCGCCTCGCACACTGGTGTCCTCAGCCAGGCGAATGGAAATTCTGGGCAGGGAGAGGGCTTGGATGGGGGTGAATAACCTGGCTGTGGCAGCCAGCAGGTGTCAGGACCAAAGGCACCTGCTCCCAGCAACCAGGTTCCACCTGCCTCTGAGCACCCACCTCCTGAGCCTCACCCCACGCACCGTGATGATGTCATTCTTGCGGAAGCCCAGCTCATCATCGTCATGTCGCTCAAAGTCTAGCAGGGCCTTGGCCCGGCGCCGGTGGCTGCGTGAGCAGGCCACGTAGTTCTCGTGGTCCCGCTGGTGGCTCTCCATACTGTAGTCTGGGGTCAGCTCCTGCCAGAGAAGTGGAAAGGCCCATCAAGGAAAGGTGCCTCAGGACAGGACTGGGAAAGGAGAGGCCCCCTAAGTTGAACCATTGAGCCCAGGACTGGGAGCCCGCGACTCACCACATTACAGTTTTTGGGGTCAGTGCACTGGAAATGGCGTGCCACTCGCAGGATGGCTTCCCGGAGGTCAGCCACCAGTTCGGTTTGCTTGATGTTCTTGGCCTTGAGCGCCTCTAGGTCGACCTCCCCTGAGAGGTCCAAAGAGCTATGACAGCCATGGCTCCTGCCTGGCCCCCTTCCCAACACCAAGGAAACTCCACCCTGGGGTGTGAGGAGGAGACAGACGCCTCCTGGTCTTCACATTCCCC